ACTTGCTACTTCCACAGAATAGAGATCAGGTTCTTCCCAAATTTGAGGCATCCTGACTTGCGACCTCAGACTTGCTACTTCCACAGAATAGAGATCAGGTTCTTCCCAAATTTGAGGCATCCTGACTTGCGACCTCAGACTTGCTACTTCCACAGAATAGAGATCAGGTTCTTCCCAAATTTGAGGCATCCTGACTTGCGACCTCAGACTTGCTACTTCCACAGAATAGAGATCAGGTTCTTCCCAAATTTGAGGCATCCTGACTTGCGACATAATCCCTGACAATTCAGTGTTAGTCATCGCATTGTAATGAATTCGAGCATTAGGAAATTGTTACCAACCCCTTCTCGCGCTTCATCTGCTTGAAAACTGGCACAACATGCGATTTCGTTAGGGTCTTCGGGAAAACCTTTTCCCCTCAACTCAACGCACATGAAGAGACAGTAAGCGGAAGCACGCTTTTGACCTGGAATGACGGACCTGAAGAGGGAAACTTCCCAAAAATTCTTTGGGCGTACCTTTTTGAGAAATCTGGATTTCGAAGATTCATGTTCTCAAACAGGCTCCCCTTATCACACGTGCTACTTCCCCAGAATAGAGATCAGGTTCTTCCCAAATTTGAGGCATCCTGACTTGCGACCTCAGACTTGCTACTTCCACAGAATAGAGATCAGGTTCTTCCCAAATTTGAGGCATCCTGACTTGCGACCTCAGACTTGCTACTTCCACAGAATAGAGATCAGGTTCTTCCCAAATTTGAGGCATCCTGACTTGCGACATAATCCCTGACAATTCAGTGTTAGTCATCGCATTGTAATGAATTCGAGCATTAGGAAATTGTTACCAACCCCTTCTCGCGCTTCATCTGCTTGAAAACTGGCACAACATGCGATTTCGTTAGGGTCTTCGGGAAAACCTTTTCCCCTCAACTCAACGCACATGAAGAGACAGTAAGCGGAAGCACGCTTTTGACCTGGAATGACGGACCTGAAGAGGGAAACTTCCCAAAAATTCTTTGGGCGTACCTTTTTGAGAAATCTGGATTTCGAAGATTCATGTTCTCAAACAGGCTCCCCTTATCACACGTGCTACTTCCCCAGAATAGAGATCAGGTTCTTCCCAAATTTGAGGCATCCTGACTTGCGACCTCAGACTTGCTACTTCCACAGAATAGAGATCAGGTTCTTCCCAAATTTGAGGCATCCTGACTTGCGACCTCAGACTTGCTACTTCCACAGAATAGAGATCAGGTTCTTCCCAAATTTGAGGCATCCTGACTTGCGACCTCAGACTTGCTACTTCCACAGAATAGAGATCAGGTTCTTCCCAAATTTGAGGCATCCTGACTTGCGACATAATCCCTGACAATTCAGTGTTAGTCATCGCATTGTAATGAATTCGAGCATTAGGAAATTGTTACCAACCCCTTCTCGCGCTTCATCTGCTTGAAAACTGGCACAACATGCGATTTCGTTAGGGTCTTCGGGAAAACCTTTTCCCCTCAACTCAACGCACATGAAGAGACAGTAAGCGGAAGCACGCTTTTGACCTGGAATGACGGACCTGAAGAGGGAAACTTCCCAAAAATTCTTTGGGCGTACCTTTTTGAGAAATCTGGATTTCGAAGATTCATGTTCTCAAACAGGCTCCCCTTATCACACGTGCTACTTCCCCAGAATAGAGATCAGGTTCTTCCCAAATTTGAGGCATCCTGACTTGCGACCTCAGACTTGCTACTTCCACAGAATAGAGATCAGGTTCTTCCCAAATTTGAGGCATCCTGACTTGCGACCTCAGACTTGCTACTTCCACAGAATAGAGATCAGGTTCTTCCCAAATTTGAGGCATCCTGACTTGCGACATAATCCCTGACAATTTCAGTGTTAGTCATCGCATTGTAATGAATTCGAGCATTAGGAAATTGTTACCAACCCCTTCTCGCGCTTCATCTGCTTGAAAACTGGCACAACATGCGATTTCGTTAGGGTCTTCGGGAAAACCTTTTCCCCTCAACTCAACGCACATGAAGAGACAGTAAGCGGAAGCACGCTTTTGACCTGGAATGACGGACCTGAAGAGGGAAACTTCCCAAAAATTCTTTGGGCGTACCTTTTTGAGAAATCTGGATTTCGAAGATTCATGTTCTCAAACAGGCTCCCCTTATCACACGTGCTGCTTCTTCCCAGAATAGAGATCAGGTTCTTCCCAAATTTGAGGCATCCTGACTTGCGACCTCAGACTTGCTACTTCCACAGAATAGAGATCAGGTTCTTCCCAAATTTGAGGCATCCTGACTTGCGACCTCAGACTTGCTACTTCCACAGAATAGAGATCAGGTTCTTCCCAAATTTGAGGCATCCTGACTTGCGACCTCAGACTTGCTACTTCCACAGAATAGAGATCAGGTTCTTCCCAAATTTGAGGCATCCTGACTTGCGACATAATCCCTGACAATTCAGTGTTAGTCATCGCATTGTAATGAATTCGAGCATTAGGAAATTGTTACCAACCCTTCTCGCGCTTCATCTGCTTGAAAACTGGCACAACATGCGATTTCGTTAGGGTCTTCGGGAAAACCTTTTCCCCTCAACTCAACGCACATGAAGAGACAGTAAGCGGAAGCACGCTCTTGACCTGGAATGACGGACCTGAAGAGGGAAACTTCCCAAAAATTCTTTGGGCGTACCTTTTTGAGAAATCTGGATTTCGAAGAATCATGTTCTCAAACAGGCTCCCCTTATCACACGTGCTACTTCCCCAGAATAGAGATCAGGTTCTTCCCAAATTTGAGGCATCCTGACTTGCGACCTCAGACTTGCTACTTCCACAGAATAGAGATCAGGTTCTTCCCAAATTTGAGGCATCCTGACTTGCGACCTCAGACTTGCTACTTCCACAGAATAGAGATCAGGTTCTTCCCAAATTTGAGGCATCCTGACTTGCGACATAATCCCTGACAATTCAGTGTTAGTCATCGCATTGTAATGAATTCGAGCATTAGGAAATTGTTACCAACCCCTTCTCGCGCTTCATCTGCTTGAAAACTGGCACAACATGCGATTTCGTTAGGGTCTTCGGGAAAACCTTTTCCCCTCAACTCAACGCACATGAAGAGACAGTAAGCGGAAGCACGCTCTTGACCTGGAATGACGGACCTGAAGAGGGAAACTTCCCAAAAATTCTTTGGGCGTACCTTTTTGAGAAATCTGGATTTCGAAGATTCATGTTCTCAAACAGGCTCCCCTTATCACACGTGCTGCTTCCCCAGAATAGAGATCAGGTTCTTCCCAAATTTGAGGCATCCTGACTTGCGACCTCAGACTTGCTACTTCCACAGAATAGAGATCAGGTTCTTCCCAAATTTGAGGCATCCTGACTTGCGACCTCAGACTTGCTACTTCCACAGAATAGAGATCAGGTTCTTCCCAAATTTGAGGCATCCTGACTTGCGACATAATCCCTGACAATTCAGTGTTAGTCATCGCATTGTAATGAATTCGAGCATTAGGAAATTGTTACCAACCCCTTCTCGCGCTTCATCTGCTTGAAAACTGGCACAACATGCAATTTCGTTAGGGTCTTCGGGAAAACCTTTTCCCCTCAACTCAACGCACATGAAGAGACAGTAAGCGGAAGCACGCTTTTGACCTGGAATGACGGACCCTGAAGAGGGAAACTTCCCAAAAATTCTTTGGGCGTACCTTTTTGAGAAATCTGGATTTCGAAGATTCATGTTCTCAAACAGGCTCCCCTTATCACACGTGCTACTTCCCCAGAATAGAGATCAGGTTCTTCCCAAATTTGAGGCATCCTGACTTGCGACCTCAGACTTGCTACTTCCACAGAATAGAGATCAGGTTCTTCCCAAATTTGAGGCATCCTGACTTGCGACATAATCCCTGACATTCAGTGTTAGTCATCGCATTGTAATGAATTCGAGCATTAGGAAATTGTTACCAACCCCTTCTCGCGCTTCATCTGCTTGAAAACTGGCACAACATGCGATTTCGTTAGGGTCTTCGGGAAAACCTTTTCCCCTCAACTCAACGCACATGAAGAGACAGTAAGCGGAAGCACGCTTTGACCTGGAATGACGGACCTGAAGAGGGAAACTTCGGAAATGGAGGGATGACCCAAAAATTCTTTGGGCGTACCTTTTTGAGAAATCTGGATTTCGAAGATTCATGTTCTCAAACAGGGTCCCCTTATCACACGTGCTACTTCCCCAGAATAGAGATCAGGTTCTTCCCAAATTTGAGGCATCCTGACTTGCGGCGTAATGCCTAGAATTTCAATGCTGAGCATCACATTGAATTTAAAAATCAGAATCGTAATAACTCATCCTGGTGTGTTTTTCTTCTTCTTAAAAGTGGCGCCGCATGCGATATTTCATAGAAAACCTACATAACTCAGCTCAATACACGCTTCTTCTACGAAATATATATCAGAGTGTGATCATATAATTTCGTTAAGCATTTTTTAATCCGTATGATGGGATCCAAGAAAAAAATAGGAGAATGAAAGGTGCTTTGATTCAAAATTGCTAACGATGCTACCTTCCAGCGAAATATGGACTCAGATATATCGAAAAATTCTTGAAAGTTTTCTCCATCTTCTCCAGAAATAGGACTCAGTAACTATTTTGCGGCTTTTGGCTAACGGGATAGATCCTGATGTGGAAATGTTGAGCCTTCTGTTGAAATGGATTTGAAAACATAGATATGGTCACCAACCCATAGTCACGCTGCTTTCATTCTCGGAAGCTGGCACAATTGTGAGGTTTTTGTGTGATACACAACTTCGTACGATTCTGTGATGATAGAGGCTGAAATTCAGAGGGCGATGGACCTATGATGATGCGAGCCATGGAAAAGAGAAAATTTCGAGATGTCAGATTGAAGACTGAAGACTTTCTTCTTCAAAGTTGTTGTTGTCTCATGTTTTACATCAAAACTTCGTTGAATACTATGTTTTTCAGCTTGTTCGAGGGAGACTTCACTTTAATTCCATGGTGGTGTTCGCGCACGGGAGAGCGCAACATATAACTGCCCGTGGGAAAACACGGGCTCAGGTAGAAAGACTCCGACCTTGTTAAATGATTGTCCCTGCGCCTTGTTGATCGTCATCGCAAAAGCTACGCGGACAGGGAACTGTCGTCGACGAAGTCTGAAGGGAGTCCTCTGGTCCCAGTAATTGTCTATCCTCGGAATTATAGCCAATTGGTCTCTCCTATCTCCACAGATGAACCTGCAGCCTAGCGTAAAGCGTCCGAGTGTTTCGACCTTAAGACGTGTCCCATTGCACAACCCATTCGCCACGTCCAAATTCCTTAGTAACATAACTATAACCCCCTTTTTCAAATGTAGCTCATGTGGAGGCATACCCGTGGGTGTGAGGGAATTGAGATACTCCAATTGAAACAGCTGTCGTGGCTGTCCTTCAGGGTAAATGGCCTCGTCAACGCTTTTGTAAACGCGTTCATCCTGTGCTGTTTCAACGATAAGACGTTGCAGTGCATCCTCATTCAGGCGCTGGACGTGCACATTCTTCGGGGCCAGGACAGCATTTTCGCAAAGATTCGAAGTGGTTGACGGGTCGAGAACATTGCCAAAAATTTCTGTGATTATATCCGTCCTACACATCATCTCTTCAGAAATAACTGTGTAGCCGTCATCGTCATTGGATTGTCCGTTGCCAATTTCAAGTAGACGTTCACGCCAATCGCTGCCAGCTTCACATGCTCTCATGTTCATCTCAAGTCGGTGGACACGGAACAATGGCCACAGAAATGAATTCAAAACACATGCTTCTACAATATCTTCTCGTTGACCGTGTTCAACAACTGGCAGGATCTGTCGGAAATCACCACCAATCACAATCACTTTACCGCCAAAAGGGGCGTCCACTTGCATTATATCCTTAAGGAGGGCATCCACTGCTTCGAGAGCGACTTTTGGAGCCATGGAGATTTCATCCCAAATTATCATGTCTGTCTCCATAAGGCGCTCAGCTTCTTTTTGTTGCCGTCTCATTGAAGACGTTCGATTTCCATCGCAATATTCAACTTGAAAACTGAATTCACAGTTCGTCCTCCAGGAAGCAAGTTAGCCGCAATGCCAGTCCAAGCTACACACAGTACATTGTACCTCCTTCCAACAGCTATGTTGTACACAGTGCTGTAGAGATATGTTTTGCCACTGCCGCCAGGCCCGTCTACAAAGATGCACCTGTTTTGGAGATCTATCCAGCGCGTCAAGTATATCGTCTGCTGCTTCCTTTTGCTTAGTGTTGAGGGTTTCGTATTGATGCAATCCGTCCCTCTCATAACTTGCATAATCAATCGGCAGTAGTGGTAAAGCTGGCCTTTCTCCGGTAGGCGGAGTAATAATTTGTCTCAAATCTCTACCCATTGTAGCCACTCGATCGAGGATGTCGAAGTAAGCCAAAGCGATTGCGGACTCTCCATCGACTCCCTGGTGAACATAATCGTCCGACATCATATTAGCGAATTCCTCCCACAGATCTTGCGCCTGTACCAATTCGGAAAAGCACAGCAGACAGGCGAAGAAACTCCTCATTGCCGCTGCCGATTGGTAGTGTGCAACTTCTTGCAGGCTTTGCCTGTAGTATCTATCGTCGTCTAAGAATCCAGCAGCTTTTGCGGCATCGGCGAACGAATCATAATGTCGTGCCATCCACAGTTCGAACGTCCTTCAAAGGAGGTTTTTCCCTTGACGTTAAGTAAAAGTATTCGTAGGCAATATCGCTCCCTATCAAGTGGCGACACTGTGAACATCCGGCCAATTTGCGTACCACCACGCATCCTCGGTGTCCATCCCCGTCGGGGGTTGAAGATGAAATATTCTGGTAGTTGATAATAATAGAGACACCGAGGGTCAACCGCAAAATCTGCTGGCAGTCCATTTCGATATGTCTCATTGCATAGCCTGTTCAACTCGAAAAATGCTGTTAGAGTTGTGAAATTCCTTCCAGCTTGCTCCAGGTACTGCTGCTCTTGCCCTTGGACAAATCGCACAGTCTGAAGCTCAGGCAGGTGGACAGCCAACCTGCAAACCGTATGTGATTTGTCCTGTATGGTGTATCCAAAAATCCGGTACATGCTTTGCGGGGCGCACACATAGCGGGTATTGAGGTGCTGCTTGATTTCATCGATGGCCTGGTTGTCGCCCACGGCTGGTTCGTTTTCGATGCTAATGTGAGCACGATCTGGCCCTTTATAAATGTACTTGTAGAGATATTTCACCTGCTGAGATCATGCCGCAAATTTCAACGTTGATGTGGCAGTCGTACTTGAGGAGAAGATACGGGTTTGTTGGTACCACCCACTCATCACCGTAAGGAAGTACCATTGATTTCGGTAGGTGAAAGATTACGGCGCCTATAGTTGGGATATCCATCTACGTCAAGAGAGGTCCTTTCGCGAATCTGTTTCGGAAACCTCTTTGAACATGATCCATTTTGCATGCAAGGAGAACGGGGATCCACGGCTCCGCATTTTCGATGAATCATGTAGGAGGTCACAGCAGTATACAGCTCGGGTTCTGCTTCTCTGTTAGGGATCTCTGCGCATACAGATTTATCCACTTCTTCCGCGGTGCGCACTCTCCAGTCGTCTTTCATAATCAGGAGCATATGGCAGTGTGGTAAACCTCGCTTTTGGAAATTCAATGACGTAAACGTAAGCTTCCACTTCGCCTAAAACGTGCC